ATAATAGCTGGAATAAAAGTCAATATAATTTGTCATCATTGCTAATAATAAAAATAAGTTCGAAATATTTTTTTTTTGTTTTAATTAATGAAATAATATAAATTAACAATTTAGTTCTTTAAACTTATTCGGATGATCCGAATAATTTGAATAATCAACGATTAATTTGAATAATAATCGATTATAAATTTTATGAACGATTGATTAATCGATTACAAAATTTTTGACCAATTCAGACCTCTATTACCACCTTATAATAAATTACCATTCTATAATTATTTACCATTCTATAATTAATTACTATTTTGTAATTATTTACTATTCTGTAATTAATTATATAATTATCATATTTTTAAAAAAATGTGTAATTGCTTACTATAATTACGAATTATATTTTTATATAATTAATCAAATTTATTAAAAATTAATATTTAAACTATTTAATATAATGAAATTAAAATACTAATTTATATATAAAAATTTAAATAATTAGTTAAAAATTCTATATAAATATTAAAAGATCTCTTTTATTTAATTTATCTTAAGCAAGTGAAAAAATAATAGAGTTTACATAATATGAAAATTTTTGGTTATATATATACCTATATAATAATTAACTAATAATGACTTTTATGATTATTAAGTTTAAGACTTACATTATAACAGTTTTATTTCCTAATAATCATTAATTATAACAAATAAAATAAATGTTTATATAATTTGAAAGAAAATTTAAATTTATTAAATCAAATATAATTTATTAGAATTAAATAATATTAATAATTATAAAGTGATTACTATTTACAATTTATTATAAAAATTAAGATTATTAAATTGATTTATATAAAGTTTATTTTTAATTAAAACATTATATTTATTATATTTGTAATATATTTAATTTATATTTAATAATATTATAATATTAAAATTAATAAGATCATAATATTATAATAATAAAACTAATAAATATAAGTTATTATATTCTAATAATATTCTTTAATAGATATATTTTTAATATCAAAATATTGAATAAGATTAATAATAAATATATATATTTTGATATTGAAAATCAAATATTAATAGATAAAATAAATTATATCAAAAATTAAAAATTAATGAATGTAAATTTTATTTAGAATCTGCAATTTTTAAATAAAAAAAGGTATTAATTAATATTGATAAAGAGAAAATTAGTTTTATAAAATGAAATTTATAATATAATTTACAAAATAAATCTTATCTTAAGAAATAATTAAGATAAAAAAAAAAGAGTTAAAAATAATAATAAATATGTGTTATCAAATAATATAAATTATGATTTTAATAGTTATTTAAAAAATTATTAGTTTACTTTCTTATTTTCTTATTTGTAATAATATATTTTTTATTTATAATTTTTAATTAATATTTGTATAATTATACTAAAGCTTTGAATTTGATTAGAAGATTATAGGTTAATCTAAAAAATTTGAATCAAATCAACTTCTTAACTTAATCTGATTTAACCTATATTTTTTAATCTAATTTTTAAAATTTAATATCTCTATTAATATTGATCTATTTATAATGAATTTACTACTATTTGATTTATTTTACTATGATAATCTAATAAGTTTTATTTAAATATTTTGTAATTATTGATGTTAAAATAATATTTATTTTATTTTATTATTAAAAATTTTAAAACGCATTCTTATAAATTAATATATAAATGTAAAATATGACTTAATCTTATTAATATTAATCCATTTTAAATGAAAAAGTCATTATTTAATTTATTACATTAAGATAAATCTAATAAGTTATAATATATTATTTATCAATAACTAGATCAAAATAATTTAAAAAACTGTTTTTTTTTTTAATTTTTCAATGTGATTTGTAATCTATTATAATCTGTTTAAAGCTTTAATCTACACTATATATATTATATATTTATATAATTATTATTTTTGATTTAATATAATAACAATTCATTTTATAATTAAATAAATATAATAATAATTTATTATAATATTTTAAAATAAAAATTTATCTATTTTGATCAATTTATATAACATTTATCATTACTGAAATTTTACCTATAAATAATTAAATTTTATTTGAATATATAATAATTTAAATAATTTGTTTAATAAGTGAATGATATTTAGTTTATACCAATCATTATATAAAGAGATCAATTAGTTTAAATCATAATTTGACTTAAATTGAAATAGATAATTTCAATTTGTAATAAAAAGATATTATAATAATACTTAGTAAAATTGCAAAAAGTTATATCAATAATATTAAATTCAAAATAAAATTAAGTTATACATAAAAGTCTTAGATATATAGATATTTTAATAATAATAAAAAAAAAGAAAGACATCATATCAATTTTTAGTAAATTGATAATTTAATAAATAAAAATGCTGATCATATGAATTAAATATCCACCACCATCAAAAATTCTCAGACATGTGATATTTGATCAATTATATGTTAACACTTAATATAACCCTAATCCTAACACTAAACTAATTCTAACGAATAAAATTTCACAAAAAACTTCCCTGAATAATTAGTAAAAAACGGAAACCGAAGGGGTGATAATATGTGAATATTTTAGGGCATCCTTAAAATGTACCCCGGGTTCAGAATATTATCCTAGACCGCAACTGTACTTATCACGTGATAAATACTTTAAAAATATTTATTTATACATGGGTCTAGGATAATAACCTAAACCCGGAATCAAGGTTAAATTTTCCCGTACCTAAATCACATGACTTTATATATATATATATATATTTTTAAGTATTTTACACTAAAAAAAAATTTGCTGTTACTAGACGCAACGAGTCGATCTGATGAATTGAACGATCATCCAGATTAAAGTTTAAATGTAAATCATTTAAACTTTAGAAATGGAACTTGTAAAGCTTATCATGAAAAAGAGATTGTTGATGTCAAAATATGAAACCAAATTATGTTTATTTTCATAGCATTCATTCTTGGATGTATAAATAATTCTACGACATTCAACTTTATGAAAATAAGGTTCACCACGTAAATAGAGAATTGAATTGACGATGATGTCGTGGATTTTGATAGCGAAGCGATAAAAGATGATTTACAGAAAATGTATATCAATAGATGAAATACTATCAAAAGTTAATAAAACTGTGAAAGATATTTCGTTTAAAATCATTTCACTGCTCAAAATGTCAATAAACACAGAATCACATATCGGATTTAGCATCGTTGAAATCAAGGAGAATAGTGGATTAATTTGAGGAATGAAGTTGTTAGGTAATTGAGTAAGGCACCCAGAATAATGACACTTACCTTTTAAAAGGACGCGTAAAAGCTTTTATAAGGTAATAATAACTTGAATTCTTTTTTTTGCCTTTCTAGTAAAGCTAGAACGCACCGATCTTTTAACCTTTTCAACCTCGCGCGTGACGTCACAAATACACGCAGAGAGAATCTTTGTAAATGTTAACTTTGTAACACGAAATAACAATTGAAGAAATAATTGAACAAATTCGTGTGATTTATTATTATTGTTTTTGGTTGATTAAATTATATAAATTCGCAAAAATTTGACGGTAATGACAACACATTAATATCGCCGATTTATAAAAATGATTTTAATTTTACCAAGGAAATTCTTCATCAGAAATTCCTCTCAACATAACTTTTAAATACATTGGCATTTGAACACCTTCCAAAACTTCTAAAGCAACATTAATAACTTCTTCCCTTCCATTAAATTGTCTTAAAACGTCAACGCATTCACAAATACCTTGCCTTAAATACATTTCACCAACATCTCTGTTCATATATTCAGGACCCATTCTTCTTTGATCGCACAACCACATATTTTGTGAGGGGATATATTTACTAAATCTTCTCAAGTAAGGTGCCATCCATCTAATAACCAATTCTCTCGAAGGTGTAACAACTTCTGCTAAACATTCAAACAGAACCTGATTATATGAAGTAGCATTTAATAATGTAATAAAAGCATCCATACCACAGGAAGAAGTTGGAGAATCGTCCCATTGTTCTATTGCTTCTTTTTCTTTAAATGGTGCCGAATTTGTTGCTACTCTTTTTTTATATTGTAGCCATAATTCTGCCCCTACTGGACAGTTTGACTTAAGGATGAGTAAAAAACGACCCTCTTGAAACTCATTCGGTGCTGTATATACTGTTACGAGTCGTTCTATAAATCGCCTTAAGTCAAATGACATATTTAAAAAAATTAAAAAGAATGTGAAGTGATAAAAAAAAAAATATAAAAATATCTTTTTATTTTTGAAAGGAATTAAAACTTGAAAAGAAAAATTTCGATAAGTCCCAGCACGTTATTTATTTTATCTGTTTATCTATTTATCTACTGTATCTTGTCCTATCATAGAATTTTATTATTGGTGTTTAAGATCACCCCCCCCGCCCCGCCCCCCCCCCCCCCCCCCCCCCCCCCAGACCCACACCCTCCATCTCCTCTTCTTACCTTTTCGTCGCTTTCTGGCTTCCG